TTCACAAGTAGCTATGAATAGACCATCAAGGCTATTATTTTCTATAAATCATATTATTAATATGACATATAGCAAATAGATTTCAAGAAAGACTGATTTTCCTAATAAACATAAACTAGAAGATATCTATATATATTACCCTGGAGGTTTTCTTAATCCATGATTATCCTAGCAAAATATGTAAAGCTTGAGATCCACTTGTGGATATAAAGCAAACATCTCAAGGTTGTAATCATCTTTTTAATATAAAACCATAAGGTATGCTTTTATATCAAAATGAATAGAACATGTGTGTTTACTAAGAACTATTGGGAGCATAGTGACATTCCCAATCTTGTATGAATGAGACATACTTAATCATAATAAATGACATTTTGACCATGCCAAACTTTTTCACCTTGACTCAGAATGTGTTTCTAAAATGAAAGACTTAGGAAGGACAAGATACATTCTTGGAATGTAAAATCTATAGATAGATAAAATGAATGTTAAAAGTTTTATATCTTTATGCATATATTGACAATATCTTGAAAGTGATCAAGATAGAAGATTCCTTTGGAGCAACCTTGGCATTGTCACATGGCACTAAGTTTGAGCTAGCCTCAAGAACCTATTTCATAGGTTTGAACTCATTAAAATAATTTATATTCAATTTGCATGGAAAATGAATCTATCAGTTATGTCATATTATGCATAAGACCTGTTATATGATCATGCTATGAGCATATCACAAGATACCAATTAGATACATGGTTAAGTCACCTGATGACTATAGGAGCATTCTAAGAGTACTTTTGAAGAACTAAGAGAATGTATATGAGATAATTAGTTTAGAATAAAATCTTCATGTAAAGAGCTACATTAGATTCTCTAAAAAATATAGATAATTATGAATTATAATTGGATTATGAATTCATTATGGGATGAAGAATAAGTTTAGTTGGAATGTGGTCCAAGCAAAACATAATGACACAATTTACTACAAAACAAGAATACACTACTTTAGAAGTTGAAATTGAATATGATTGGATGAATGAGTACATTGAAATCTTTGTGACTTCGAGATTGTACTTAATCAAACTAAGAGACTCTATGTCACGAAAGAACGCTAATCATATTCTACAAGATATTTAACTATACCTAGAGTAAAGTCAAATATGGAGATGATAGTCTTCACATAATTCATACAAATTAAGTTTAGTTGAACCTATTAATAAATTTCTTCTTCTGAGCTAAGTATGAATGGTCACACTTCACCTATAAGACTTTATTATTTTATAAATGGGATTTTGATTTGGATTTAGTATTTGGATGTTAGAACATTATAACAACAACTACTATATAATGTTTTGATATACTGGGATATGATCATAACATCAATACTTGTTGTGTTCTATATTAACATGTTTAATCCATGAATAATCTTGTTATTCTAAAAGTTCATAGTATGTTATAATATTGGGAGCAATTATGAAGTAAGACTAATATAAATCGGATTAGTTGACTTTCACCAAATGAAAGTAGGCAATGGGTTGTAACCAAGTTTCATAGATAGAACTAGTATTGAAATGACCCGCATCAAGATCACCTCATGGATCGCTATCATGAGTGATAATTGATTAAAAGGTACTATCTTTGTATCCTTAACTAGGAAGTTATAGAAGGTATTTTCAGGTATAATTTGAACTATGCAAGAGGCTTATGTAGTGAAGATGAGATTTGTTCCTCTTATGTGTTGAGAGTTAGACATCTAAGGCGCCTTACCAAAAGTTGAACACCTAATGAGATTGATCGCGATCCGTATCTCATGTTCAACATGATGTATGTAGCAAATGGATAATTGATAAACTTACCTTATACACCAATTATAGCTTTGAGATTTTTGGGAATTGGGTGTTGATAGAATGTCACAAAGTCATATGTTGTTGGGGGCAGTGAAATGTTGCTAGACGTTCACCAATGTCTATATTAGTCTAATATGAGTCTTGCGCAAGTGGGAGATTGAAAGATCTAGTGTGATCAAGAGTCATATTAAAAGTAATATTGCTAATTAACATATGATACTAATGGGTCGCATTAACAACAACTTGATACAATTTATTATTTATTAGAAATTGATTTTAATAAATATTTAATGAACTCTTATAATTAATTGGAAATTATTTATTTCATGGAAATATTAATTTCATTAGCAAGTAACATAATATATCATATGGTGTGATTTATTAAGTTATATACATTATTTTGGAGTAGAAAGACTCTTTTGTCTTTTAGCTAAATGTTAAAGTTTATATCTTATAAAGAGTTATAAGAATTTTATAAACTTTTCTTCTCTTTATATATATATATATATATATATATATATATATATATATATATATATATATATATATATTTATATATAAAGAGACGAGCTAATTTTTAGGAAACAAGACATGATATTTTGAATATAATAAGGAAAAATAAGCATGGCTTAAGATGCATAAGGGACATGTAGGCTTTAGGGTATAGAGTGCTTAAGGTGTTAAGAACTTTTGGGTACTGATTTAGCTTTATGAATACTTTCATTCATTGATTTTTTACTCACCAAAATTGTAGCTCCCTCATACTCTCTCATATTCTCTCTTACAAAAAAGTGCAAGAAGATTACTTGCTTTCATTTTGCTCTCTTTAAGTCATATTTGGACATTAACTTGCAGCTTAAGAGTTTTGACTAGCATCTACATCAAGTTGGTTTAATGTTGGTGTCTCTAAAGTTCCTCAATCTCCATCAACTTCCAAGCCTCCAAAGAAGACCCAAAAAACTACAAAGGTTGTTATCTCTCCATCTTCTTCTTTGGTGTTTGTTTTAATCTTTCTAAAACTTGGAAGATGATCATTGGTGGGTGTAAGTTGTTATGTATTTTTGAAAATCATAAGTCTTCCGTTTGACATTTTACTAGTTTATGAAACTAATTTTGAAATAAAACTCAACAAATTAATCATTTTTCTTGCATACAAACATTGTTTTTGCATGAATACATACAATATGAAAAAAATATACTTAGGTAAAAACAATACAAAAAAATTATAAACTTAAAAGTTATTTGCGATTTAATATAATTGTAACCAAATATTTTTGTTATGATGGGTAAAAACGATAAAACCAAATATTTTTGGCAAATATCATGTCATTAATGAACATAAAAACGAATTTAGTGTAAAACCGAACATATTTGGCAAATATAAGAGCTTTATGGCATTAATGTTATAAAGCATGTTCCCTTTTAATGTTATATATGATTTCCTACTCGCATTTACCTAATTTGTTATGATATCAGGTTTGTTTGATATACATTTTATCATGTCTAGTAAGAGGTTAATTAGGCTTGATTGAGTCAAATACAAATTGTTTGATACCATAATTAGAAGTTTCTTTATTCTGATATGCCTCTTAGTGGGTATAATAAAGTGTGTATAACTTAATCGGACTCAGTCAGATCTAACAACCATCATTTATATTTAATTTTTAAAAATTTAATTAATATTCTGTTCTAGACCGACTAGGGGTCGTTTGTTTTGCACTTACCCGGACCGGTCAGAGCTGACTGTTGACTCGGTCAGCAGTCAGACTGTTTGATGGGCCTTCAAAAGTGGTGATTCGGTCAGCAATAGCTGACCCATTGGCTGACTTGGTCCCCCACAAAAACAAGGCTGACTGAAAAAATAACCTTATCTTCCCGTGTGTTCCCCTGCGCCCTAAAATAGAAATCACGCATCGCATTCCTCAAGCGACTCCTCCCGCTTCGACGCTTTCTCAACAAGGATTGCTTCAATTCCAAAATCGACAGCAGCATCAACAGCAACAACGATAGCAGCAGGTTATCTTTTTTTTTTTTTTAATTTATCTCAAGGCCATATGAAATCATCGCATCTTTTTTTTCTGATGTATGAAATTCGTTTTCAAGTTTGATTCTGAATGAACCTGCCACACAGAATAATCTTTAAAAACTTTATTACAAAAGGGTACTTTGATTGAAGGACAGTGATGTTCATGTTCCATTAATTAACGACAAGAACAATTAGCAAACATTACTATGAGCATAATATGCAAATGTAGGCAGTTTACACATACCAAGATATGGAGATACTACTACTTCCAAATCCATTACAGACTCTTTTGAGCTTATAAATTTTTTAATCCCAAGTTTTTCCCAACCACAAGATTCACATTGATGAAATAACTTATCGTTACCCAACATTGATGAAATACTTTTAGATTTTGTATGACACTTTATATTTGGATTTTAAAAGATGTATGTTTAATTTGGATTTTATGTGATAGTTTGTATTTTTATAATTATTTTATCTAACACAATCGACAACATAAGGGTAATATGGTCATTTTCATGATTCAGCACAATCAGTCGGAGAAATAATCAAACAGCATAAACTCAGTCAGATGTGGAGTCAGTCAGCATTTCTAACACAGTCAGCTTCTAACCCAGTCAGCTCTAACTCAATCATCAACTATCAAACGACCCCTAATATCTAATCATTAGGGACTAACCTACTACCGTCTAATCATTTTTAAAACATTGATATAAAATTATGTCGCTAAAAAAAGTTGAATAAAATTATGTGCTAAAAAAAGTTTTATGTGCTTTATACGGAGTCACGAACCACAAGATCATTTTGGTACGGACATAGACGGCTCGTTTTTTCCCTTCAGTCGTAGTGTTTTTATCACGCCTACCCAAAAAACTTGATCTCACGTGTCAAACTTGTAACCATGTTTGCTTGAAGATGAGCCCCTCCACCTTCTCATCCCCACGAAATAATAATAAAAACAAAACGTTATTTATATTTAATATCTAGTTTTTCTATAACACAAAAAAGTTTGAAGATAAGCAACTTGTGGAAGGCTTGTGGCACACACCAGTTGTATTATCTCCATATACTTTGATCGATTCCTTCATCCTCACAGAAACCACTCAACCAAAAAACTAAAGTTTCCAAAAATGGCTTCCTTGAACATGTTCCTTGCTCCGGCCACCATATCGACGACCGTCAGCAGCAGTACTAGCAGCATCACCACCACCACCACCAGCATCGCCACCACAAGAGCAAGAAGAGTACAGACCTTCGCTACAGCTGCAAAAGGTTCCGGTGGAAGCAGTGAGGAGAAGGGGTTTTTCGATTTTCTTATGGGTGCACTGGTGAAGTTCGATCAGCTGGTGGAGACTGATCCAATTCTCCAGAAGGTGGAGGGCAAGAGCGGTACCACCACCATTTCCAGTAAGAAGACCACCACTTCGGCGGCGCCACCAAAGAAGGATGCTGGAAGCGGTGGCTTTGGTGGCCTTGGTGGATTCTTTGCTAAGAAATGATATGTGGATTCTATAATGTTAGTTCGGAATTTTTATAAAATTCAGTATAATATCGCATTTTAATATTTGATTATAAAAATATAATCTGTCCAAAGCACATTAAAGAATTATGCATTTCTCGATTTTGCTATATATACCTTTACATCTGCACATTGAGCATTGTTACGTCTTGTTAAGAATCATCTACAATACTTTGTATTTTAGTAAAGGATCTTAAAATTTTTTACTAGGCAGAGCGGATATGGCCAGGGACATAAAATTAGAACATATAAATAGGCAAACTACATATCTCCATGATGTTGGGGAATATAGAAATTAGAAAAGAACTCTAACTTGAATTTTTGACATTTTTTGTCATTTAAATTATATTGTGTAATCCTTCCCATCTCTTTCCTTTAGTTAGCATCATTTTTTGTTAATTCAGGTAAAATTCATACTAACACCATTTTCTTTAGCATCATTTTTTTGTTAATTCAGGTAAAATTCATATTAACACCATTTTCTTGAGTTCAATTTAACGAAGAAAAATAAAAGAGATAAATGGAAGTAGTTAAAAGAAAAAAACTGGTGTTCTTTTTTTTTAATTAAAGGAATGGGAAGGAAGTTGAAAGATAACCTCCCCTCCTAACTTCAATTTTGGAAGAAGTTTGAGAAAAAAATGTATATATTTCTTTTCATTTCTCTATAACTTAGGAACATCAAAAAAAAAAATTTCTTTTGTTTTCTTCTTTTCTCTAATTATCTTATTTCGCCTTCTTTCTTAAAAAAACTAAAAAAACAAGATGTCAAATGAACAATTTATAACTATGTACTTATAATTATTTTTTTATAAAATTACATAAATAGTCTTTGTTGTTTGGTATAATAGACTACTCTGGTCCAACATTTTTTTTGTTAAGTAGCTCGTCCTTGTGGTTCTCTTTTATTACAACGCATATCCCTTGAGCAGGCGTCGTCTGAATGTTGTTTTCTTCCTCTCACATCCATATCATGTGAGAGTATATTTGTCCAAATAATTAGCTCGCATTCCTTTTAGGTCATCCGTTATACCCACCACTAACCATTATAATGGTGAATTTCACATCATCACCACACTCTCTACCACAAACTATAGGATACCTACCACTAAACACACCACTCCACCTTATTTTTTTAATTAAATTTAAATCAAAAATACATAAAAATCATATAATTTTTTTTAAATACTAGTTTTCATTAATTGAAAATACCAAATTACATTACTTAAAATAAAAAAAATAACATTAGAAATAAAAATTACACTAATTAAAATAAAAAAAATAAAAATAACATTAAAAATAAAAAACCTAAAATTACCAAGCTTAAAAAAAAAAAAACTATCCCCTATTCTTACGTCGGACTCGAACAGACTCCTTCATCGCGAGAAATAGCTCAAAATCTTCGTCTTCGAGGTCGTCCGCTTTCATTTTCAATATTTCCATATTGGTTTTTGTTTGAATCACCGATTGTGTTTCTATTATTTTTTGTTCTACCCGACTCAACATCTCCGCCTTCGTTTCTTGAACGTGCACATAACGATCAAATTTCTCTCCAAATTGATCCATAACACTAGATCCCGAAGCCGTTGAAGCCGCTTTTTTTGCTTTATTTCTTCCAACGGGCCAACGAAGAGGTTGCTCGTCTTCAAGATCGAGCAGTTCATCGTTGATGTCGAAATGTGTCCGCCCGTCCGATTGTTGAGACGTTACTGTAACACCCAAAAATTTAAACCAATTTAAACTTTTAAAAACATTTCAAACCATTAAAAATCATTACAACTTTGTTTTCAAAATATATAATATCAGAGTTTTCCCAGAAACATAGACAAAACATGAGGAGCTGTACGATCACGCCTTCGCCTTGTCGCGATCCCTTGATGTACCTGAAACAATAAACTGAAACTGTAAGCCCGAGAGCTTAGTGAGTTCCCCCAAAATACCGATACATATACAGTCCATATAAACATATCATAACAAACTGAAAAACATGTAATAGGCCCCCAGCTTTACAGACTGGATTACCCCTGAGCCCACAGTACGAGTCTCCCTTTAGCCCGTAACTGGAATGCTCCCGAGCCCACAGTACGAGTCTCCCTTTAGCCCGTAACTGGAATGCTCCCGAGCCCACAGTACGAGTCTCCCTCTAGCCCGTAACTGGAATGCTCCTAAGTTCTGTTGGCTACCGCACGGAGCAGTACAACCTCAACCCATCCCACATAACATATAACATACCACATAACCACTGAGCATGCAATAATCATATAACATCACAGGTAGTCCTACAGGTCTACCTAACTGACATAACTACTAGCATGCAACACTAACTTATACTCAACATCTAACACTGCTAGAATAACATATCCAATGGGCCGGCCTTGGTGCCTTAGACCCCTTAGTATAGTGAGGATAACTCACCTTGCAACTGTCGTCTGAAACTAGAAAGCTCAACTCCCGGATCGCCAACACAAACTCCACCACCTATAGTTACCATAAAACCCTTTTTCATAAATCTCCAAATTACCAGAATACCCTCAGAAGTCAACTGGTCAACTCTTGGTCAAAGTCAAAGTCCACAGTCAAAGTCAACAGTCCATGTTGACTCGACTCGTCGAGTGCAGTTCATTGACTCGTCGAGTCCTTCCTGAACTCGAGAAGTCGTGAAATCCTTGATTGGCTCGTCGAGTTCCCCTTTAACTCGTCGAGTTCATACGTGTCCAAGAATTGGGAGAAACCCTAGCCGACTCGCCGAGTCTTCGAACGACTCGCCGAGTTCAAGGCAATCTTCAACGGACTCGCCGAGTTTGTTCATCAACTCGACGAGTTCACGACCATCTTCATATGACTCGCCGAGTTGACTATGCAACTCGCCGAGTCCTTACAGACCTTCATCCATGCAGACACTTTTTAAGCCATGCCAAGGTTCCAGATTACAGATCCAAGCTTCTAAGGCATGTTTAACACGTAAAGTTGCAAACTTTACACACATGCAAGGCCCTAAAGGCTCTAAATGACCAATCTAAGCTTCTAAATGGAGCTTTACACCATAGGAGAGTCTCATCCTTGCAAAAGCTGGAAACTTTATGGACTTAGGACTCATAGAGGTTCAGATCTGAAGTTTCAACTTCAGATCTAGCTCTCATACCAACATCCCTTCATGAATAACTAAAGAAAGCCCTAGTTTTCACATATGAATGATTCTAGAAGAAAAATAGGTTAAGGTAACAGTTGATTACCTCCAAAACGTGCCCAAACTGAAGTAGACTCTGGATCCACACGGAAATCTTGATGCTAGCCTCTTGATCTACAAGTTTCCTTCACAAAAGTCACTCCCTAAAGCTCCAAAACACTCTCCAAGCTCTCACTCACAGCAATTAGGGTTTCTGGGTCTCAAGAGGGTGATAGAGGACAGTGGGAGGCGCTAATGGTCCAATATATAGGGTGCAAAAACCCTGAAAATTAGGGTTTCCACTGCCAGCTCCTACTCGTCAAGTCCCATGCCGACTCGACGAGTAACTCATTAATCGACGTGTCCTGGCCCGCTGCTACTTGACGAGTCATAGCGCCAACTCGTCGAGTAGACCTTCAATGTGAAGTCTAAAAGGAAAATATTAATAATACCTGACGGTTGGGATGTTACAGTTACATCGGGATTTCTTGAACGCTTTGAACCGGAAGATTGTGAACTTCCTTCTGTTTGCTCTTTCCATTTCGGAGCATCTTTCAACTTTAGCCAAGGTTTCACATACGGAAAAGCTTTGCGGGTTGGCGTTATTTTTTTCAAATTGGTCCAAAGCTGCCTAGAAAACATCAAAATCATTTGATCCGCTTTTTCGTATGTTTAGGAGGTTGTTGTAAATTCCTCCAAATTCGGTGCATTTGAGTCGAATATCGCGCCACTTGGAGCTAATTTGATCGGGATTTCGACTTTCATTTCCCGTCAACTCATAAAACACCGTGCAAACTTTCTCCCAAAAACAACCTAACGTTTGACTATCGCCTTCAATCGGGTCTTGGGAAGCCGAAATCCATGCCTCAGCTAGCATTTCTTCTTTGTCTTTTGTCTGTGAGACCCTTTCTTGGGTGGTGTTGGGTCGGGCCATTTTTTTTCCTTTTTTTTAGGTTGAGGTGGTGGTGAAGGTTGAGTTTTCGAAACAAAATTCGGTGAATGACGAGGTTGTGATGGTTGTGGTTGGAATTGTTAATGTTGGAGTTGTTGGAAAGCTTGATATTGTTGAAGTTGTTGTTGTTGTTGTTGGAAGGCCGGGAAATCTTGATAGTGTTGTTGGAAAAGTGTTGTTTGTTGGATAGAGGAACCGGTTTGAAGCAAATTGACAAAACCACCTTGAGGTGATTCTATGGTTGGAAATTGGCGAAGGGTCGTGTCTAACACAAAAGCATTATCGGGTTTGCGATTTCTAAAGTTTGGGGGGGTGTTTTGGTTGGGATCCATTTTTGATTGATATGAAATTGTTGTGTGTGTATTGTGTATAGATAAAGAAAAGAATGGTGTGAAAAATAAGTGTAAAAATGTGGTATTTATAGGTACAAATAGAAGTTGTTTAAAAATGTTTAAAAAATGTAGTCGTTCAACGACTAATTCTTTTCCTCTTCCCCCATTCGCCGTTCTCCTTCGTCGTCCCGAGCACGAGGCTCAACGAACACGACCGACCACGAGATACAGGGGTGTTGTGTATGGACCACTATCGTGGCCACGTAGACCACGAACCAGCTCGTGGACGGTATACCGGAAGGCCTTACATTTAAAAAACCATATTTATCCCCCGTCCCTAGACGTGTCAATCGTGTCCTGTCATGTAGATCTGTGTCTTGTCGAAACTGATGAGTTTTATAGGTTATCAAAAACATGTAAAGCGGAAAATCTTAACATTTAAGTTCACATGCAACCTATAAAGAATCTATGTTTTCTCTAACTGATAGCAACATACTATGAACTTCAAGAACCCTAAAGAAACTCTATGAAAA